ACTTTCACGTGGCAGACGCAACCTAACTAGCGGCTTGAGTGCACACAGGGACCACCTGAGGCTCGCGTATCTGTAACAGGGGCCTCTGGGTGGTCAAATGAGTACTAGTGAGTAGGCGGAGGAAGGCCTATTCTTATTCAGCACGGATGTTTTTCTTCACGCTTCACACAGCTAAAACAGCCCTGCGTGCACCTCCACGAAAGCCCAGGTTTTGCGCATCACGGCGTCAAGGAAAATGAACGCCCAACCCATACCCCGCAGGATAATCAGCCGTGATCTCAGCCGTGGAAAAGGGGCTCTGACGGCTATTTCATTGGGGACCCTAAGCCGAAAGAAAGAAATGCCAGTGACTGAAAAATTGTTTAGGGACCAAATTGGTCCCTGAATGGCTAAACACAGCTTAAGTTCAAGCTCCCCGAGCGACAAGAGGGACACTGAACTCTTGGGCAGCCCTGGGCACTCACTGAACAGCTAAATGTCAAGAGTGCCTCTGAACGGTCATGGAGTTAATCGAGCAGCGAGAAGGACTCTTGGATGATAGAAGGAGCCTCCCAGTGGGCAAAAGGGCCTTGAGCAATTGAAAAACCCAAGTGTCCAGAGGGCTTTTAATATGTGGACACTAAATCAGTGCGGCGACGGAACTCTCAATAGCCAGAGGAGTGCTTAGGTCAATGAAACGACCCAGTGCAAGCAGCTCAGGTCAGGCCAGGTTAACCCAGTTAGCCCTCATTAAAACAGGTAGTTATGCCGCTTATCCAAAAATTTGTCACGCAACAGCCGCCACAAAGGGTGAACTGGCTTTTAATTTGTTAATAGCTTCATATGAACCTACTAGTTCTTTCTGAACATATAAACGCCCGACCCCATATGAGCAGCCGATGCGAACCCTCCCCCCCGCCCCAAGGGTTCTGGTGATACAAGTTCAACGTGTTGTGCAGTCGCACCCAATTTGCTGTGGGTTCTGGGGCATTAATTGCATGTGTTTTGACAACAAAAACTTGTTTCCAGCGTTTTTGGTTTGTGATAAGCGACGGTTGTCAAGAGCACTGCACGAGGATCCACGACCGGCGTGGCAGCCATTGATTCTGCAGACCGTGCGAGCGGGTCTGGCACTGCTATATTAACGGGACCAACCTTTGAGACGTAGGCTTAAAACAGATAAAACTAGGTACTGTTGTAGTGAATTTAAACAAAGAGTACACCTTGCTAAATTTAATATCGCTACGCGGTATGGTCGTATGCGTGCGAACATGCTAAGTTGGGCAATTCTGATTTTCAGGAACATTTTACCACTGACTTGGTCTAGTGGGGTCAAGTAGCAACGCAAGACGTGTGGCAACACGTGAGATCTCGCTGAGAACAATTCATTCCTGTTTTGTTTGCGCTGCGCTCTACCTTCCTTAGTTTGGGAATGGCAGGGGCGTCATCCCTCCTCTCAGTCCGGTTCATGAAAAACGGCAAATTGGGGTGAGATTAACACTTTTGGCTACCATCCTTTTCATTTATTTTACATATGCTGTTGTAAAAATTCTCATTTTCGACCATAGAAGTACATAAGCTGGTACATCAGAATGACACTTCCATTACCAGCATGCGTGCGTTGGTACTGATTGAGCCTGCAAGCCAAAATAGCTGTTTGCACACAAGGTGGCAAGCAAATTTAAGCACACTTTGGTACTCGTCATACCTGATGCAGGAGTGTAAACTCAAGCCATCTTTTGTCATGCATAATGCAGGAGTGTAAATTCAAGTTATTTTGGGGGCCCTGCTCTACTCCAATATTGATTTGCGCTTTTCAGTGCTGTTCTCCATCCCCTTAATACTTCTAGCTGAGAGATTGCAAAATAGCAGGAAAAAGCAACTATAGCACAATGCCTATTTTCTTAGGATTCATTCTCTGGTCATGACCACAATGCTGCTGATTTTTTCACCTTTGTTTACTAAGATAAACCACCAAATGAATAGAAATTACCTGCAATCAAACCAAAACAGACTCAATCTGTTGACAAACACATCTAGGGGAGCGGAGGTTGTGAGGCCCATGGCTTGCTATCCCCCTCCCTTTACCACGTATGAGAACTGACACCCTGACATGATGACACTACCAGACAAACTATATCGTTTTCTATCAGCGTGGGCTGCATTGAAATTATGTTATCCTCCCTCACAACCTGCATTTAATACAAATTGTACTTACGTTCAGGGTTCCACCAGAAAAGGTTTCGCTTCAATGTTTGCAAACACAGTAATGAAATATCTTACATTGGCATCCATACAAATGTATAGACGTAGGAACTTTTCAAAAAGTGTGAAGTGGGCCAAGCTCAGGGCGTACTTTATCAACTTTTCTGGAAAACAAGCCCGATAACCGGAGGGGGGGGGGGGTAGAGATGGAGGCTTCTATCGCTCTTTATGCTATCTTGCACTATGCTTAAGAACGGGCAGCCCTTAAAGCACCGCAAAGTGGTGCTGGAATCTGGTAAAGGAAAGTGGTAGAGCAAAGGAAGGGTCTATATCGTTCGTGTTTCTGTAGCTATTAATCTGTCCAGAAGAAAAATTAACACAGCGCCCGTCGTCTGGTGGAACTTGCAGTGGTCGACGCCGTTCGGTTTTACGGAAGCCGCAACCCAGGCCATCGCTGTCCTTGCTCTCGAGGTTGCGGGCGGGCATGTTCAAACCTCATGATACATTTTTTTTTTTACTAATCCATTCCAAAAAAATAAATGCTGTCAGGCAGGCATGGTATGACTTGGATCGTTTTTAAATTCATTGCGAGACACTCTATTCAATAATAATGAGAACTTCATTCTACTCAACAATAATGAGACCGCTTATTTCCTCCCGGGCAAGGGGCTCCTTGAGCAGAACACCAGAGGCACATTACCGGTTCCGGTCAAGGACTGAAGGGCCACTCCGTCCCATCGCGAAGTCCAATAGTTATCACATAGGCTACAGTTCCATGTTCTTCGGGTGTTTTCAGAGATATTGAGGACTTCCCTAACATAGAATGTAAATTAAATGGGTTCTAAATTTGTATTAACATGGCTAACCCATGTTTGTCTTAAAATTTTCAAGATTCAGTCAGAATTGGGTATTAATAAAAAACTATTTGACATGGTTTTGAATATACGCGCTCGCAAGTCATAGCAACAACAGCCAGGCGTTACAGTCTCCATAGGTCACGCGGCGTTGGCCCGCGGCTGCGACACTAAGCGATGACCAATAAGCAAACGAAAAAGACGGCGCACCTTGAGAGAGATGGCTGGTGGGTTAGCTAAATCGGCATGTATTTTTGACTGTGGTGCAGAGGCAAGCTAAATACAACCTTAATCTGAAAAGTGGAAGGGGGGGGGGCAGTTATCACTGCTGGTCCCCACCTTGGAAAGGGGGGGGCATGACCCCCTGGCCCCCCTGTTCCTACACCCATGTGCAAATCGCAAGTGTGGGACCGAAGCGAAGCCCTCCCTCCACATGATACAAAAAAAGCGCACGCCAGGACCGGTCTGTAACAGGACGCGCCTCGGATATCGGCCCCCAGTCCCCCCGAGGCGACCGAACCTCGTTCAACCGTCGTGAACACCAGCCAGACCTGTTGCGCAATCCGATGCTGCTCCAGCGCGGCGACAAAGGCGGCCGGTCTCGCCGCCACGCATCGACGTTAGCGAGATGCGTGACCGCGACTATAACGCGACATAATGGTCACTACGTGATCATCTCGCCGATTCTTCCTAAACTGTCAACCAATAACATCAACAACGTCCAAAAGTCGAGAAAATGGCCCATCGTAAGCTCAGAGACGGCCCTCTCAGGTCTGGAAAGGGTCCATCATAAATTCAGAAACTTCTCTTCTCAAGTCAGGAAGGGGCCTAAATAGGGCGAGAAACGAAGAGCTTAGGCCCGGAAAAGGTCCATCTCTCTTTTTGGCCGGGGAAAGGCCCATCTCTGGTCTGGAATGGGCCCATTGCAGGTTCAGATAGCCAGTGACAGTGTACCCATCAGACAAACTGTTCCCCATGCATGAGGTAAGGGCCAAAACTATCATTTACCCCATATTTCAGGTGGCCCAAAGGAGCTCATAGCCGATTTGTGGAAGATATTCGTGTATGGTGTTTATCCAAGTAAGCGTAGAGAGTCCATCTCAGGTCCGAAAATGGTCAATTTGAAGCCAGGAAACCCATATTACAGCTTCAGACACGGAAGGGGCCCTTTTCCGGTCTGAAAAGGGCCCATTGTAGACTTAAAAGGGTCCGGCTCTGATCAGGACAAACCCATCGCAAACTGAGAAATGATCCGTCTCAGGTCTGGGTGGGGCCCGTCGTGAGCACAGAAAGAGCCCTCTCGGGTCGTGAAAAGGCCCATGGTAGACCTAATTAGGGCGCTTCTCAAATCATTAAATGACACGTTTTAGACTCAGAAAGTGGGCATCTCAGGTCCCGAAAGGGCCCATCTAAACACTAACCCGAAAAGAGTCTATCTCAGATCACGCAAGCTCCATCTGTGCCAAGCTACCATATTCGATATGGTAGCCTAGCCGTCCCAGGATGTGAAGTCGGTGTATCGTTTGCATGTCTAGTTTGATTTAGTGCTCGTTTCCCGTTTGTTGAGTCACTTAGTTTGCTACTATCTTGAGGTCTTATTTAGTCTTGGTCAATCCATGCTATTTTCGTATTCATTTTGTACTGCTAATTTTAGCCTCTGTTCTGTTGGTTTCCGCTCCGTTTTGCTCTGGGTCTAGTCTGTCCATTTCCGAGGTTTCGTTGTTTTCCCATCAGCGTCCACGTGGAGTTGAGGCGCGGTGTTGGCGATGGGCGGTCACGAAATATAATGCACCTGAAACCTCGGTGTCTTCGACGTGCTGGCCGTCTACAACTGGTGGCAGCGGTGGGATGGAGGGCCCACGCCGCGACTACTGCCGCGTCGACGAGGTTTTCGCGCTCATTCGCCTGCCTAGTGACGCCTGCCTTATCTGGGGTCGCTGAGCGCGCCTCTGCGACCGCCAGCCGCCGGCCGAGTGACCTCCAGCCGGGTCGGTCTGGTGCCTGCCTCCTGCGCGAGACGCCGCGCTGCGTCCTAGCGGACAGCCTGTGCCGTGCGCAACATCGGGAGTAGCTGTAGCTGATGGCTGCCAGGTGATACCGAGCTGCTGGCGGCACTGTCTGGGTGCCGGCTGTGTCTGGGCGCCTGCGCTGCTTCAATGGTCGGTTAAGTACCTAGTCTTGCTTTATCGTTTTTTTTTTTGACTGATTTGCTTTCCTGATAGCATGAACTCTGAGCCTCCCGTTTTGGCTGATATGGCTCCTGCTGAGCATCTGAGGTCCGAGATGGCTGGTCTGACGATGGCGAGTTTTGATGGACGTGGTTCGCTGAGACGTTCTTTGATGGTTTTCAGCGGTATGCCGTGCTCCGAGAATGGACCGGGGAGCAAATGTCAAATGTCTTCCCGCTGTCACTCACTGGCATTGCTTGTGACGCATTTGATAGCTTGCCCATTCAACAGGCTGCCACCTTCGAGACGGCTGCTGCAGGGTGGAGAGGTGCTTTCAGTGCTAAGACCGTGACAGAGCATCACCTCGCCTTTCGTGAGTTGACGTTTAGTGTGGGCGAGAGTCTCGATGCGTTTGTCATCATATTTAGAAAGCTGATGGCTATGGCTTTCCCTACCCTCACCGATACGGGCTCACTGATGTTCAGCCATTTCCCGGCCACCTTGCCCGCTGACTTACATGCCGCTGTTATTGCGGACGGTATTTCGTCCTTTGACGGCGCCATCACTAAAATGCGTAACCTAATTGCTTCACAGGCATATATGAAGCAATATCAGCCCAGTGTCAGCCGTCTCGACTGACGGTGAACTGGCTGTGTTGACGAGGAAAGTGATGAGCTTAGAGGCCGCAGTTCAGGCAGCCTCTCGTCCCGGTGGCACTTGTGCCGGTCAGAGAGACCGCGGCTCGCGGTTATGTCTGTGCTGCGGTGGGCAGAATCATGTCCGCGATTGCTGCAGAATGCGGAAACGGGAGTGCTTCAAATGTCACTCAGTTGGCCACTTGGCTGTGATGTGCCCCCAGACATGTCCTGAGCAGTCTTTTCCGCAGGGAAACGAGTTGGGGCCCGCCGGGAGAGCAGTATCCAGCGAAGCGCTCCACCACCGAGCGACCGGACTCCGATGGCGTTCAGTCTGAGTCACCATCGAATGCAATACCACTGACCGGTGACATGCGTCTGACGGCGCGCCTCGCTGGTGTGGATTGCCAGTGCCTTTTGGACACAAGTAGTTCGGTCAGCGTGTTGCATAAGTCCGTGTTTGATGCAATGCCGAACCTCACACTGAGAAAGACGTCTGTACAGGCCCGTACTGCGTCACATTCTGAGCTCCCACTTCTTGGTCGAACTGCGGTGCCTTTCGACATTGCTGGCGTTAAGTGCACCGTACCATTTTTCGCTTCTGATGTCACTAACGTACCTTGTTTGCTCGGTGTTGATTTTTTGCGGCATTGCCGCTGTGTTATTGATTTGCGTGCTAAACAACTTTTTGTTACCCCCGTCGAGGCCGTTCGTTCAGCGTCCCCTCACGCTTTGACTATCGGCGACGTTTCGTTGAGTGCTGACCGAGTCGTCTTTCCTGGCACTGAGGTTATTTTTAAAGGCTTTGTGCAGAATAGTTTCTGCAATGGCCCTGCTCTCGTCGAACCTGTTGATGAACTGAATGGTTTGCTGGTCGTCAGTGCACTCGTGACTGTCGCTGGCTCCAGAGTGCGATTTGTTGTGCGAAATGTGACAACTGAATCCATTACTATTCCCAAAAAGCGTACCCTGGACAGATTGGAGGTTGGTTTTGCCGAGCAGCCACACGGTTCGAAGGATGATCTGAGGACTGAGCAAGCTGTCAAACTGCAGTCTGACCAGTGTGGTTCCGACCTGTCACCTGAGCAGAGAAGTAAGCTAGAGTCACTACTCGAACGACACGCTGACATGTTTGACGGACATATCGGGTTTACGGATTTGGTCACCCATGAAATTGATACCGGTGACCATCCTCCCATTCGTTAGAACCAAGGCCTGTTCCACCTCACCTGGCGGACGAACTGCATTCTCAGCTCCGTGAGCTAGTCATTCAGGGTATTTTGGAGGAGTGTGATAGGGCATGGTCGTCCCTAACCTGTGTGGTGAAGAAGAAACCTGGTGCATACAGACTGGTGGCTGATTTGCGCCACCTGAACGCCGTGTCAAAGGTACCAGCATATCACATAGCGAGAGTTAATGATTCGCTTGAGGCATTGGCTGGCGTCGACATTCTGCCAGTTGGATATGAACAGCGCATATTTTCAGGTTGCCGTGGATCCTAAAGACAGGGACAAAACTACCATCACCACACCGTTCGGCACGTATCATTATACTCCCATGGTTTTTGGTTTGGGCGGGGCACGTGCGACCTGTGCCCGTCTTCTCGACATTGTTTTGGGAGATGTGACCCCCGAGGCTGCGTTCATTATTTTGACGACATTATTGTGCATGGCTGTGGATTTGATGACGTTATTACGAAACTCGACACGGTTCTGCAACGTTTTGAGAATGCTGGCCTGACACTGAACCTACAGAAATGCTCATTTTTCACCAAAGATGTGAATTTCTTGGGACATGTAGTGTCCGCTAATGGTGTGTCCATCGACCCAGAGAAGGTCCAAAAGGTAGTGGACTGGCCCTGCCCGAGGACACAGAGGGAACTAAGCAGTTTCCTTGGGCTGGCTTCCTATTTTCGCAGGTTTGTACGAAACTTCGCTGAGATCGCTGTCCCGCTGTTCCGCTTGACCCAAAAAGACACATAGTTCGTGTGGACTGAGGAAACGCAAAGTGCGTTTGACATGCTGAAGCAAGCGCTGTCGTGTGCGCCTGCTATGTCATTTCTGCGTCTTTCGGCTGGTGCCGGAAGGTTCTGTCTCGATACTGATACATCTGACCTGGGAATCGGGGCGACCATTTTCCAGGAGAAGGGCGGTGAGGGCCGTGTGATTGCCTATGTCTCTCAGAAACTGAGCAAATCGCAGCGCAATTACGGAAAAAACCGTAAAGACTTTTTAGCGTGTGTCGTGTTTGTCAAACATTTCAGGCATTATTTCATCGGGAAACGTTTCGAGCTGCGCACAGACCGTGCCAGCTTGCGTTTGCTCCTGACATTTAAAAACCCGCTGAAATTTTGGCGAGATGGTTTGAAATACTTTCTGCGTTTGGTTTTGCGGTAGTTGTCAGACCTGGTGTTGAGCATGTCCCTGCCGATGCGATGAGCCGATGTCCCCAAATGACGCGTGGCGCCGAAACCCAGACTGATGAACATGTGTGTGCAGTGTCTGCGAATTCCTGGTCTAACAGCTTCCTGCCACACAAGCAGGATCAGGACTCTGCGATTTCTGAGATTTCGAAACAATTATCTCCGGTCAAAAGACCCTGATCCTCTTCTGTAGACACTGAGTCGATTCCACTTTTGCGCCAATGGCACCGTCTGGGACTTATCGATGGTGTTGTCTTCCGCTGCTATCGGATTTGCGTTGGTGGTGAAGACCAACTACAGCTCGTTGTCCCAAAACAGTTGATACCTGGTGTACTGACGTCCCTACATGCCGGCCCTGCTGGCGGCCATTTTAGCTCAGAGTCGCGGACGTCAACGGCGAGACGTAACTTTTGGTGTTGCAGGATAGAGGCCGTCATCAAAGATTTTTGCAGCCGGTGTGAGAAGTGCAACACACGAGCTGCTCCTATTCCGCGCCCAAGGGCTTCAAAGGGTGAACTGATTGCCGATGAACCTTTTGCGGCTGTGTCTATCGATTTTCTATGTGGCCTGCCCACGGCGGCCCGTGAGAACAAGCACCTTCTGGCGATCTGTGGTCATTTTACTCGCTGGTGTGAAGTGTTTCCGGTCCCCGACATGACTGCCGCCACTGTTGCTGATGTGATTGTCAACCAACTTATCGCGCGTTTCGGATGCCCCCGCCGCATTCATTCAGACAATGTTGCGAATTTCTGATACCCTTCTGGCTGAGGTTTGTCGATTGCTGGGCGTTGAGAAAACGCATTGCTCTGCTTTCCATCCTGAGGGGAACTCAAAGTGTGACAGAATGATGCGAACGATACTGGACATGCTGGCAAAATACTTGGACGAGAACCATGGCGACTGGGACGCTCACTTGCCTCTGCTCATGCTCGGATACAGAGCCAAGGTTTATTTTTCACTGGGACACTCTCCATACTACCTGATGTTTGGCAGCAATCCTAGGCTACCAGCTGCGGTGCAAATCCGGGCACCATCTGTTGTCCCCAAATGTGCCACAATTTCTGAGTATCTGTCCAGACTCACACAGCGGATCAAACTGTCTCACAAGTTTGCGCTACAGGCCTCAAACAAGCCTCATGCGCGCAAAAAGAGATTGTTCGACAAGAAGCTGACCATGTACCACTTTCAGGCTGGTGACGCGGTGTATCTTTTCAAGAGTGTAGCTCAGCGAGGCCAGTACTACAAGTTTGTCAGGCCATGGAAGCCTGCGGTGGTTATGGCTAAGCTGTCTGGCCTCAATTACAAGGTGAGGGTGTTGGGAAGGAAAAGATCTGTCGTTGTTTACCACAATAGACTGAAGCCTCGTTCCGAGGACCCCTCAGTGCCTGTCGCAGGCCCAGACATGACGATTCCTGGCTCGGCGTTATCTGCGGACCCCGAGGTTGGAGATCAGCCTTCACCCCGATCGCCTCAGCCACCAGATGGCGCGTCACCAGAGGGCGACTGGTGCTTGTCACCGTTTGCTCGTGACACATTTCCAGCCGGTGATAATTTGGTGACCGCGGCTGTTGCTGTGAGTGGCCCGGCGCCTCTCTCCACAGGGATGCCTGTACCGTCAGAGGTATGTGAGCACACCCCTGATGTGCTTGATGTTCCTGTTTCTGCTCCGGATGGTGGAGATGGACCACTGACCTGCACCTGTGTTGGTACCTGATGGGCCCGTGACCGCTTCCTGTGTTGGTCCCTGATGCG